CTCTCCCCACGTCTGCAGGGAGCTGGACGACCAGATCCAAGCCAATCTCCCTGATGAGGTGCGTGCCCTGCCCCTCCCCCCCCACCCCACCCCCGTGCCTTCCTCCTCTGCCTCACCCTGGGTGTATCATGGGGACCTGGGTGTCCTGGCTCCTGGGAGGAGCCATACAAGGAATCCTAATCCCTCATCTGCCCAGCACTTGACAGTTTGCAAAGGACTTTGAGATGATAATGGTGCAAGGTCTTTGAGGTCTTGTCTCTGCCGGGTCTGTGCTGAGCTCTTTACTTGGTCAACCCGTTTCCTCCACAACAACCGTGTCAGGGTGCCGTCACCATCTCCCCCTCCAGCGAGAAACTCACGTTCAGGGAGGTTAAGGAACTTGCCCAAGGCTCACCCCCATCATGGAGCTGAACTACACCCTCCTCAGGCCACAGAGCCCTGGGCAGGAGGAGAGTGGGGTCTAGATTCCCACTTTCCAGGTGAGAAGAGTGAGGCTCAGGCAGGCCATGGTGATGAGTGGTCCCAGCCTCGCCCCAGCTGCTGCTCATCAGGGGCCCGGCTGGAGCACCCCTGACCTGCTCTCCCCCTTCTCTCCATCCAGCAAGTGCTCTCAGAAGAGGAGATTGACGAGAACTTCAAGGCTCTCTTCAGGCAGCTGGCAGGGGAGGTAGGCTGGGTGTGCTGGAGCGAGGGGCTCTGGGGCACCAGGGGACAGCCTTTCCCCAGGGCGGGTGCCATCCTCCCTCTTCCCCCCAGGACCTGGAGATCAGTGTCAAGGAGCTGCAGACCATCCTCAACAGGATCATCAGCAAACGTGAGCGTCCCAGCAGCTCTCCACCCTGTGTCCTCACTTCCTCCAAACCCCAGAATCTAGGCTTCTGGTCCCACATTGAGCCAAACCCAAGCCCTTGGTCTTCATGGGTGGGTGAAGCCCTACTCACCCCCTGCTGAGCCCTGCTCACCCCCACTTTCCTCTCAGACTGCTTCCATCATCTTGCCGGTCCCTGTTCTCTATGCCCAAGTTCTGGGACCTGATGTGGTTAGAAGCTGAGCTGCAGGCAAGCACCGTAATACGAAGGAGCAGGCCCCCCTTCCTCCAGAAGATACATCCCAGGGCCGGGCCGAGTGGCTTCGAGCAGAACGTGGCTGGCTTCACTCCCCCGTGTGCACAGCCAAGAGCAGCCACCCCCCGACCTTCCCTTTGCCCCCACCTCTGACCTCCTTCCACGCTGCTCCCCTCAGCCCAGAGCCCTCTCCTCTTGCCCCCCTTTGGGGCCTGCGGCAAACCCCAGCCCTTCCGTGGCAGCCTTGGCCTCACGTTTCTACTGCATTTGTCCCACTTCTGTTTGGCACTGACTTCCTTTCATTCATGGCGGTTCCATGGCAGGGACACTGTTGCTGGGACACCGGCTTGATTGCTTAACTACTTTAAACTGTGCTCACAGTAAAAATGATCTGACACACCCACCGTGCTAGACTTTACACACCATGCGCCGGGAATCATGCTTCCCTGGTCCCTGGGCCCCCAGCACAGGGCAGGCCCCGGAAGCTCGCTGGTTGGGGAGTCAGAACTGATTTTCTTTCAGACAAGGACCTGCGCACCAAGGGCTTCAGCCTAGAGTCGTGCCGCAGCATGGTGAACCTCATGGATGTATCCTTTGCTTGTGTTTCCTGAGGCTGCTTTGGTTTGGGGGGGTGGACGTGGTGAGGGAAGGACGCCCCGTGACCTCTCCCGGGAGCAGTGCAGAGAAAGGGACAAAACTCTGTCTAGTGTGGATGGACAGTTTTCCTGGGCAACTTCCTATTGATTGGGAGGGGGAAACTGAGGCACGGGCTCTGTGTTGTGGGAGTTAGAGCAGGGCCTAGGTCCTTGAGTGACCTTAAGGCTGGTGCTTTTTGCACCCCTCCAAGCCCAACCCACCTGGCTGTGCAGGCTCCTGCCCCTTCCCCTTTTCTCTCATCTTCAGGTCAGTCTCCGTTTCTGCCTGGTTGCTCCTTACCCTGTGCCTGGTTTAAGCTTCTTTTTTTATTTTTTATTTACTTATTTTTAAGATTTTATTTATTTATTTGAGAGAGCGAGAGAGAGAGAGTGAGCACAAGTGGGGTGAGGGTCAGAGGGAAAAGCAGACTCCCTGCCAAGCAGGGAGCCGGATGCGGGACTCGATCCCGGGACTCTGGGATCCTGACCCGAGCTGAAAGCAGACGCTTAACCAACTGAGCCACCACAGCGTTCCTGGTTTAAGCTTCTTAACAGTAGCACCCCAGCGGGACGGCAACGGGAAGCTGGGCCTGGTGGAGTTCAACATCCTGTGGAACCGCATCCGGAATTACCTGGTAGGTGGTCCCGTGGTCCCTGTCAGCGCCCTCCCTCCGCTGTAGTTGCAGTCCCAGGAGGGGCCAGCTGCATGGTCCCTCTGCCCTGGGTCCGCCTCTCCAGATCCCAGCTCCTGGCCCAACTTTCAGGTCTTTCCCCTGCACCCTCAGCAAGCCCCCACCTGGGGGGTGGGGGGGACCGGAAGGGCTGGGTGACCCCCCTCGGCCTGGCCCTCACCCTCTGCTCCCCCCTCCAGTCCATCTTCCGGAAGTTTGACTTGGACAAGTCGGGCAGCATGAGTGCCTACGAGATGCGGATGGCCATCGAGTCTGCAGGTAAGGCCGGAGGGCCGGAGGCTGATGGCCCCAGGCTGATTTCCTGCCAACGACCCAGGGTGGCAGGCCACCACCCTGCCCTTGTCCTTGGGGTGGTGACGGTGATGGGGTATGGCAGTAACAGCCATCTTCTGACTTCTTCCCGTGATGACTGAACTAAGTGCTTTATCAGCATTTCCTCTTGCCCTCGCTGCAGCCTAACTGGGAAAGGGTCTCTTACTATCTCCGCTGCACACAGAGGAAAGTAGGGCTCAGAGAGGGAAAGCCAGTAGCCTGTGGCCACACAGCCAGACACAGGTGGAGCTGGGATTCAGAGCCTCCAGTGAGAGAGGTGCATGTCAGGATGAGACCAGGGCTTTCCGCACAAATAAAACTGGGCCCCTGGGCCCTCCCCAGCCAGCTGATTCCCTGGGGCCATCGGACCCTGCTTGCCCAGCCCCTCCCAGCACTGGGCCCTACTCAGGAGGTCTTCAGGCCTCGGAGCTGCAGGGCTCACCCTGCATACCCCCCAGTCCCCCTCCCTGGCCCGTCGGGCCAGACCACGCCTCCCTGGCCCTAACCCACTCTCCTGGGCCAGGCTTCAAGCTCAACAAGAAGCTGTATGAGCTCATTATCACCCGCTACTCCGAGCCAGACCTTGCCGTGGACTTCGACAACTTTGTGTGCTGCCTGGTGCGGCTGGAGACCATGTTCCGTGAGTGTCCCATCTGGCTCCTGCCGCTAGTTCTGTCTCCCGTCAGCTGGGGGGGAACGACAGGGAGACATAGGACACACGTGTCATGGCGTGTGCCAGAACGGCGAAGGTCTCTGCACTTGGGATCCTGAAGGCTGAGTGCCAGGAGTCTGGGGGAGTGGGGACCTGGCAGCAGGGGTGGGCTCAGGCAGCAGAAAGAGCTGTTTCCCTGGCAGCGACAGGTGAGGGCTTGGGGTGCTATGGAGATGGGGGGGGAAAGGGCAGGGGGCAAGGTGGGTCCTGGCCCTGCCTGAGTGTCCCACTGAATTCTCAGTGCCAAAACATCTTCTTTGGAATGTAGGGTTTTTCAAAACTCTGGACACAGATCTGGATGGCATCGTGACCTTTGACCTGTTTAAGGTGGGAACTTGCCTTGGCTGTGGCAGGGGAGGGTGTTTAGGGGTGATGGAGCTTTCTCACCTGCCTGTGGCGGGAGCCTGTGGCCTCAGACCCAGCCCCAAAGGCCAGGCCTCCTGAGTCCTGGAAGGATGGGGTGGGGTCGTCTGGGTCCTGGGAAGGGAGCAGGAAGGGAGGGCCAGGCTCGCCCGGAGGTCTCTGTGGGAGCCAGCACCCTGGTCTCTCAGGGTTATAGGAGGTAAGAAGGTGCCCTCCTCCCCCAGAGGGTTCCCTCCCACCTGCCCTCAGTGGTGAAGCGACGGTGGCTTCTGGGCTGGGAGGCTGGACTTCACGCTTCTGCTGTCCCCGGCTGACCCGTCTCTCTGCCCCCTTCTGCAGTGGTTACAGCTGACCATGTTTGCATGAGGCAGGGGCTCAGGGCCCCCCGCTGTGTTCCTCTCCCTCATCCGCCCAGCCATGCCTTCCCGCCGTGCCACACCAGCTGCAAGTGCCTTCCTCGGACCAGGAGGCGGCCTCGTCCTCCTGTCCCCTCACCTCCCAGCTGCCACAGTTCATCTGCTCTGCGGAGAGCTGTGTGGCCTTCCCTGCCTTCGCCAGCCCTGGGCTCGGATGGACTCCCCCGCCCCTCCCCTCGTCAAACGAGCAGCTTTCGCTGTTCCTGCCTCAGGATGGGGCTCCTGGGGGAGCTGACAGCCCCAGGCCTCCTGGCATCTCCCCATGTGTCCTCTCGCCTTGCTCCAGAGACCACCCACCTAGCCTAGCCACCTGGCCCCACCTGCGGACTGTAGAACATAACCACTAACTGCACAGTCTGCAATCCAGATGTGCAGGGCCCCTCCCAGCGGAGGCCTCCTCCTGAGGCTGGGAAGGCCCGTTCCTTCCTGTGCAGAAACCAGTGCCCCTCGCCTCCATGGCCTGCCCACCACCCCCACCCCCAGCCCTGCCCCACCTGCCAACCAGGAGTCGCCTGGACTGAGGGGTAGTCAGGTGCTCCCTCCCTCGCTCCCTCCTTTTTTATATTGGTGATTTTAAAGGGGACTCTTCAGGGACTGGTGTACCAGTAACAGGGGTGCCAGAGGCACCTGGGTGTGGGGTGGGGTGGGGTCTCACGTTTCCATGCCGAGGAACCCCCAACAATAAAGGAAAAGGCCCCACACCTGTCTCTGGAGTGTATTTCTGCCCAAAGCTGCTGCTCAGGAAGGCATCAGCAAGCCTTGACCTGCAGGGACAGCCCAGGGCCTCACACCACCCCTGCCCTGCCCTCTGGCTCCTTCCCTGAGGCCCTGGGGACTCACCCTTGCTGGAGTCCTGGGTATCTAGGAAGTTGGGGAGGATGGGGCCCCAGCTGCAGGGACAAGATCATACTGCTGAGGACCCATTGACCCCGTTGGTCCTATATGCCCCCCTCACAGCCCCAGAGGCCTGACCCCTGCCCTCCACGTACACTCTGACCCGGGGAGGCGCCAGCTGAAACCCGAACTCCTACTGAGCGCAAACCTGACCCCCCAGGAAGCTCCCAGAACACAAGAGCCTCCTTCACCTAGACACCTGCAGCTTATGTGAGCTGCTCCAGCCCCCTGGGGTCCTGGCTTTACTTATCAGAGATAAGAGTGGGTTGAGGTGAGGGTAGAAGAGCTAGAACAATGGGAAGAGGAGGGGGATGGGCGAGCCACAAACTAGGGCAGCGTCTGCAGGGCAGAGGCTGAGGGAGCCAAGGTTGGGGATGGGGGCTGAAGAGAGAGCCCCAGGCGGCAGACTTCCCATACTGGACTCGCCACAGGCTGGCGCAGGGCCTGGACCCCCTGTCCTGAGCCTGCATTTTGCCCTCAGGCGTCCTAGACCAGGTCCTGGGCCTTGGTGTCCTGTTACTAAGGAGAGTGCCCATCACTTTCTGGGAGTCTAGGCTGGGGTGTGAGGGGGCCAGGTGGAGGGCTGGGAGGCAGGGGCATGGATGGGCCCCACCCTCGTAGTTCTCTGTATTGGGCTTTTGTTTGATGAGCAGGTTGGAATAATGGTCTGGATGATCTGGCGGCCCCATCCTCTCACAGACGCCCCCCCATCCCCCCACCCCCGCTGAGGCTGAGTGCCTGGGACGGAGGCAGGGAGACCTGGGCTTCCCCTTGGCTGCCCTGCTTGAGCATCTTTAAAGGACTCCACCCCACCCCACCCCAGTTTCTCCTGTGCAGCCTCTGACTTCTTGGTTCAGGCACAGGGACTGGGTGCCCTGTGCTGAGGCTGGATCGGGCTCTCGAAGATGCCTCACGATGGCCTCCCGAATAGAGGGGAGGGTGATGATGGCCTCGCCGTGACTGGGGGGGGTCCTGCTGGTGCAGGCAGGGCTCGGGCGGTTGGGCCTGTAGAACTGGGCGGTGCGCTGCAAGGCGGCACTCTGGGAACCCTGGTTTTCTAACTGGGAGGGGAGGTGGAGCGAAATGAGGAGCAAGGCCCTGGAGGGAGGGGGAGCCCTGCAGGCAGGGGGACAGGCGACGCCTCCTGTGAGGTGTAACCGGACCCCTCCGACCTGCCGGACGCAGGGTGTCTGCGGTCCTGACCCCAGGGCCTATTTCTCCACTTCCCAGGGCCCGGTCCTTCACATAAGGCCGCGGCAGGCTGGGCCATGGGCTGGGCCCGTGGCCATGGCCTTCACGGACCTGCTGGACAGCCCAGGTGGCGTGGGCCTTCTCCAGCTCGTCTGGCACGGCCCTGCTGCTGCTGCCCTGTACCCTGCTGGCCTGTCACAACTTCCTGCAGAACTTCACAGCCGCCATGCCCGGCCACCACTGCCGGGGCCCCGTCAACCACACTGTGGCCGCCACCAACCGCTTGGGGGGCTGGCGGAGGGCTACCGTACCCCTGGACCAGCTCGGGGCCCCCGAGCCATGCCGGCGCTTCACGGAGCCTCAGTGGGCCCTCCTGAGCCCCAACACGTCTGTCCACGGAGCGGCCACGGAGGGCTGCAAGGACGGCTGGGTCTATGACCGCAGCGTTTTCCCGTCCACCATCGTGATGGAGGTCAGCGGGGTGGGGGTGGGGGGCCGGGGTGGTGCTGGCGGGGGATGCTGCCCGAGGCCGAGGCTGGAGCGTGCCTCTCTCCCCCGTGCAGTGGGATCTGGTGTGTGAGGCCCGCCCCCTCCGCGACCTAGCTCAGTCCATCTACATGGCCGGGGTGCTGGTGGGCGCCGCCGTGTTCGGCAGCCTCGCGGACAGGTGAGTCTTGGGGGAGGAGGGTCCCAGCCACCTGAGCCTCTTCATTTATCTTACTTTATTGACGTTGATTTGTATAGAGATAATTCATTCGCAGGGTTCACCATTCCAGAAGGTGTGGGAGAGTCTGCAGGGAAGAGTCCCTTTCCCACTCCTGCCCCACTGCCCGGGGATTTCTAGAGGGCAGCCTGGTTTCTGTGTCTCTTACCAGAGGTTTTATGATTTTATGTCATCCAAGCCAACAGGGACATATGCTCTGTCCCACTTTTGTCTTACAAATGCTGGTACACCCGACGTGTGCTTCTGGACCTGGCTTTTACTTCCCTTCGAGGCCTCTGCATGTTCCTTTAGAAAGAGCTTTTTGGTCCTCCCTACCGTCCCTGCTGAATTCTACTGTTTGGGCGACCAGAACTGAGCAGAACGGCCCCTGAGTAGAGCCGGCAGCCCTTCTAGAGAGACCCCAGGAAACCCAACGTGGCGCTAGGCTCCAATGGAGTCGGCTCCACACCTCCTCTGTCCTATTTCCCCTGCCTTCCAGCTCGTCCTCCCCTTCTCCCTGCCCTCCTCCTCCCCTCCCTGCCAGTTCTGGGGGGCTCTCCAGCACCCTGGAGTGTGGACTGCCCCCCAACCCTGTGCTGCATGCCTCAGACCCCTCATGGGCAGCTCTGTCATGACCCTGGTCATACTGTGTCACAACCCAGCCTGGCCTTCCCGTGGACGAGCTTGTCTCTTATCCATGGTGTCGAGTTTGTCACCAGCCCCCAGTGCAGGACGGTTTCCTAGAGGCGGTCGAGGCATGTTTGTGTCAGAGAATGAATGAGTGAACAAATGAGTGGATCCCGGGATAGGCAGTGTGTGGCCCCTTTCCCGGCCTGCTGCCCTCCCAGCCACGCTAGGGCTCTGGCCCTGGACCCTCACAAATAGGGCAGTGCCGAGGCCAGACTGGGTTAACTCTGCTACCCGGAACCCTGACCTTCGACCCCTTTATGGTGTGGCAAGCCCCCCCCCCCAACCTCCCCAGCATGACCAGTTCAAATGAAGACTTGATGTTGGGGTCCTGCTCCCACTGGCCTGTGAGTCCTGGTGGGAGGCCTCCGTCCAGCCGGAAGTTCACTCAGGGGACCCTCTGACCACAAGCCCCGAAGATTAGGAGCTGGGTTGGGGGGCCAGAAATACTCGAGTGAAGGAACAAAAGAGAAAAGACGTCTCTTCGGGTCCGGTTTTCCCTCCCTGACCAACCGTGGCTGCCACTGCCTGGGTCCCAGCAGACGTGCCTGGTTCTGTTACGGGGGACTGGCCTGGGAGGCAGCTTCCTCTTGCCCTCCCTCGGCAACCCCCACAAGGGATGCAGCCGCTGCCTCCGGAAGCTAACCCCGTGCCCGGCGCCCGGCTCAGGTTGGGCCACAAGGGCCCTCTGGTCTGGTCGTACCTGCAGTTGGCAGTTTCGGGGGCGGCCACAGCCTACTTTGGCTCCTTCAGTGCCTACTGCGTGTTCCGGTTCCTGATGGGCATGACCTTCTCCGGCATCATCCTCAACTCCCTCTCCCTGGGTGAGTCCAGCCAAGGAGGGGCCTAGAGGGGAGGAGGGCTCGCGGAAGCGGGGATGGCGCCCTATTAGTGGATGTCCTACCTGTTGTGTGGTGCTGGGATTCTCGTCCAGTGACTTCCACTCAGAGCCCCCACCCCAGGGTTCTTGGGCGACCTGGGCTCTCAGCCATGGCCCTGCCGGCAATGAGTCGTGGACCCTGGGTTGGGATGTGCCCATCTGTATGCTGAGAGGGTTGGGTTATTTCCTGTGTGCGATGGTCCACAATAACCATTTAGCAAACTCCTACTGTTTGCCACGCCCCGTGTGGGCTCAGTGTGGGGACACAGAAGGGAGCTGAGACACAGTGGTCCCCGAGGCTGCAGGTATCCTAAGATTATGTAGCTCCAAAAAGGAGCAGGGCTCACCCGGGCTGCAAAGGTGGTGACTCCTTAGCACCATGGTGGAGACCTGGCCCCTTGGAAGCCAGGTGGGAATGTCCCCCACCCCCAAAGTGACAGGGTCAGTCCTCACTGGAGGCTGGTTTCAGGCAGCGGCTGGAAGCTCCAGCATGGAGCACTGGTAGGCAGTGGAAAGCTCACGGTGCACACAGGCCTGCCACTTGCTTGTGCTGAGGGCTTAGTTTGCACCTGGGACACTACCAGGCTCAGGGAGGGTCTGAGGGATCCAGAGACTGCTGCCAAAGATGGAATGGGTCTTTCTTTTCAGGGATGGGGAGGACACCTTAGGGCTAGAGAGCCAGGATGTACCAGGCTGGCACACCTGACAGCCCCCTCCCTGAATCAGGACACTGAAGCTTGTTGATCTCACGCACGATCCCGGCAAATCCCAGCCCACTCACCTCAGCCTCCAGGCTGGGCGTCCAGCCGCAACTCATGGGATCGGAAGGCAAGAACAGACGTGCACGGGCCATCTCGTGCTAGAGTTACCTCTATGACACTCACACCCCTACATACACACATACACTCCTACCTACAAACACCCCTGCGCACACCTACTACTAGAACTACTACTATGTACCAGATGCGGCTCTAAGCACCAGAGATGGAGTAATGCACAAAGCAGATCTCTGCTCCCATGGAGCCTGTGCTCTGCGGGGGAGGAAAGACAGCCACATGAATAGCGGATCATGTAGTATGTTGGACGGGGATAAATGCTGCAGAGGAAACTGAAGTCCAGAAAGGGGATAAGCAAGCAGGGATTGGGGGGTGCAGAGTGGCCAGGGGAAGTCCTCACTGAGCAGAGTTTGCTGGAGGGAGGGAGTGCGCCCCGCGGCTATCTGGGGGAAGAACACTCCAGGCAAAGGCCCTGATGGGGTGTGTGTTTCTAGTGGGCTCAAGAGGAAGGGGTTCATTTTTTTTTTTTAAGATTTTATTTATTTATTTGACCGGGGAAGGGGGGAGAGCGCACAATCAGGGGAGAGGCAGGCAGAGGGAGAAGCAGGCTCCCCACTGAGCAGGGAGCCCAATGCAGGACTCGATCCCAGGACCCTGGGATCATGACCTGAGCTGAAGGCTGACGCTTAACCGACTGAGCTACCCGGGCGTCCTGTGGAGGGGGTTCTTGTGGCTGGAGCAGAGCACAGGGTGGGAAGCGGGGAGGGGAGTGGTGACAGATGAGTTGGGGGTGCAGATCCTTAGCCCCTGTGACCGCTTACAGACTTTGGCTTTGACTCTGAGCAAGACAGGAGCTACTGGAGGATCCCAAGCTGAGGAGAGGCCTGACCTGATCTGACTTAGCATTTGCCAGGGTCCCTGTGGAGGCCGGTTCCGCGGCTCCTGCGGTCACCAGCCAGCTGCAGACTGGTTCGGGCCGGGGGTAGCAAGAAGAGGCAGGAAGGGCTCGACTGGGTTCTGCTGGTAGAAGCAGCAGGATTTGCTGATGGACTGGACACACGAGCTGGCTGCTCATGGGAAAGAAGTGTCCTCGTTAATGGCTACAGTTGCCTTTTAAGCTTGTGCATGATTTGGTTTTTTTGTTTTTAAGATTTTTTTATTTATTCATTTGAGACAGACAGATACAGAGAGAGAGCATGAGCAGGGGGAGAGGCAGAGGGAGAGGGAGAAGCAGACTCCCTGCCGAGCAAGGAGCCCAATGTGGGACTCGATCCCAGAACCCAGAGATCATGACCTGAGCCGAAGGCAGGCGCTCAACCATCTGAGCCACCCAGGCGCCCCAAGTGTGCATGATTTGTTAATCAGTCCCCCAAGCATGGACAGCTAGGTTGTTTCCAAGTTTTGCTATTTACAAAAAAAGTCTTGTAATTAAGAGCCATTGTATTTCCTTTCCTACCAACCATTTACATGTTTTGCCTGTTTTTTTGTGGGTTTTTTCTTTTTCTTTTCTTTTCTTTTTTTTTTTTTTTTTTTTTGCCTTTTGGTCATTTTCCTATAGATATGTAAGAATCCTTCCAATATTAGGGAAATTCACCCTTTCTCTATAATTTGAGTTGCAAATTTTTTGTTTGACTGTTTTCGCTGACATTATGACTTGACTTATGGTGTTTGCTTTTTTTATTGTTGTTAAAGCCAGTCAAGGTGTTCGTTCTTATATGCACTCTAATTTTTATAAAGTCAAGATTGTTGTTCTTCCCTTTTATTGCTTCTGAGTTTTGTGGCATTCTTAGAAAAGACTTTCCTGACTCTAAGATTGAAAAAAAAAGTTGCCATGATTTTTTTCTAACGTTCTTGTGGTTTTATTGGTTATATTTAGTTCTTTGGTGCACCTGTGGCTCAGGAAACCTCTGGAAAAATTTCAAGTGGCCACAGAGTCGCCATGAAAGGCACAGGTGGATTAGACAACCATGGGGGCTATGGGTCCTACTGATCCTGTCCTGATTCTCTCTGCAGTCGTGGAGTGGATGCCCACCCGGGGCCGGACCGTGGCGGGGGTCTTGCTGGGGTACTCCTTCACCCTGGGTCAGCTCATCCTGGCCGGAGTGGCATACCTGATCCGCCCCTGGCGGTGGTTGCAGTTTGCTATCTCTGTTCCTTTCCTCATCTTCTTCCTCTATTCTTGGTACGTCCCGACAGAGAGGGGGGTGGGTGGGTGCACCCATGTGACTGAGCCCCACCTGTGACAGTCTGGGGTTATGCAGTGACTGGGACTTGCTGGACATGGTGGGGACTCGAAAGAGGGTCGATGCTTGTGGGGACCATGGGCTCACGGGCACTGCCCATGGCTGTTGGGAAGCTCCCATAAAATCCCTCACATTAGTGTAGGGCCCCAGAACGTTCGAGTGGTTTTGCCTCATCAGTTCCTTTGCAACTCACAACAGGAGGGGAACTGAGGCACAGCCCAGGGAGGGCCCCTGTTATTCAAGCCACACAGCAGCGTCAGAACCAGATTCAAAACTGAATCTGTGAACGTTTCTAAGTGCCCTTTAGCAGTTCGCTGTCTGCTGTGCTTTGGGAAAGGGAAGCTGGCGTGTCGCCCCGTCTTCCCGAGTCTGCAGGCAGCAGGAAAGGGAAGGAGAGTGTACTTGGGTTTGGAGAATGGAAGGAGCTCTACTCACCCCTGCCATCCTTCATCCTCCTTTCGGTGCCAGGTGGCTGCCAGAGTCATCCCGGTGGCTCCTCCTCCATGGCAAGTCGCACCTAGCTGTGGAGAACCTGCGGAAGGTGGCCGTTATGAATGGGAGAACGGAGGAAGGGGAGAGGCTGACCACAGAGGTAGGCGGCATGGGTGGAAGAAAGGGGAGGGACCGTTTTTAGTCTGGCTGGTGGCCTTAAGATGTGCCAGGACTCAGTGGCTTGCCAGGAGCCACCCTCCACCCAGGGGAGGAGGCTGGGAATAGAGAGAGAAGGAAGAGTTCCGGTGAGGCGAAAAGGCGAATGGCTGTGTGATCTGAGAGCAACAATTTAACAGCTTTGTTCATCAGTCCACCCATCTATGCCATGGGGAAATAACCCCATTCACATTGACACCTCGCCGAAATTTAAATAAAACAAGAAAATAAAGTGAAAATATTAAAGTAGAAGTCATAAAATGAAATTATCAAAGAACCAATAATAAAAGTACCCTTAACGATGAATACCAGCATAAGATAATTACCATTTGTAAGATAGTTACCATTCATTATAAATACGTACGGTTTCTCAAGCCCCGTGTTGGCACTCTGCTAAGGGCTTTATGTACATAATCTCATTTAATGTGTTACTTTTGGGGGGCGCCTGGGTGGCTCAGTCGTTAAGCATCTGCCTTTGGTTCAGGTCATGATCCCAGGGTCCTGGGATCGAGCCCGGCATCGGGCTCCCTGCTCCGCCAGAGGCCTGCTTCTCCCTCTGCCACTCCCCCTGCTTGTGTTCCCTCTCTGGCTGTGTCTCTCTCTGTCAAATGAATAAATAAAATCTTAAAAAAAAAAAATGGTACTTTTGTGGTTGAGGAAACTGAAGTTTGAATGGGCCAGGTCATTTGCCTAAGAACACACAGTGGGAAGTGGCAGAACCACTCAGAACCCCTGCCTTTAACCACTGCCCAAGCCTATCTCAGAGTCTCTACCAGGGGTGAGGCGTGAGGGTCCCTCGAGAACCACAGGTGTCAATTTCAGCCTAATCAGCCCGCAGCTCAGGAGCCTTGGGACTCACATTGGAGCCTCTGCTTCATCCCGAAGCTCTGGAAACAATCTGTTGAGAGCCATCAGTCCCAGCATGCAGAGACTAGAACCAGCCACCTTGCTGGGGACCTCAACTTTGACCTTCCTCTCCACAGATAAAGGGACTCCTCGCAGGAAAATAGGGTCCCAGATCCTTCCCTTCTGCTGATCAAACTTCCCTTGTCCAGGTGGTGAGCTCCTACATCCAGAGTGAGATTGCAAATGTGCACACCTCCAACTCCATCTTGGACCTCTTCCGAACCCCGGCCATCCGAAAGGTCACGTGCTGTCTCATGGTGGTCTGGTAGGTGATATGCTTGCGCCTAAGTCTTTGACCTGAGACAGGGACACACCTTTTATCCCCACTTCCAAACTCTGTTCTCAAATGCATTGAGCAGGTGAGCCTTGTGAATTCAATTTTGTTCCCTACTCTTTGTCTAGGGTCCTTGGCCCTCTGCTTGGTGCTGAGATGTGGTCATAGATGAGACATCTGTGCCGACCTAGGGACCCCACATCTGGACAGTGGGTCTCACGTTGGTGGGGGCGATGCCCATTGGAATCACCCACGCAGCTTTTCCAAAATGTACCTTGTCCCATCCTGATAGGCCCTTGGGGCTCTGCAGGAGATTCTGGGAAGTGTCCCACCCTGGAGAAACACTTGTGGGTCAGAAAGGGACAGACAAGGAAACGATAATGTCTATGAGGTATGACAAGTGTCCCTATAACAATTCTCCTGATTGGGGCTGCCGAGGGCTTCATGCAGGAGACGGCATCCAGGTGGATTTTACAAAAATGGTTGTGGCGTTTGCCAGGGGACCAGGAAGGGATTCATAGCAGCTCACATAGATAAACATGAAGTGTAAAATGGCTAAAACCACAAGGGCAATCCATTCCCATTAGCACAGACTGGCAGCTGGCAAACCCTAAGGTAAGGAACTGATTTAGAAAGGGGGTAGGGAGCCATTTTAATTGTGCTTGACAGGATGTCCTAGATATGTAAAGGGTAAGGGTTGGTATTTGTGACGTAGGGAACACAGGCAATGAGTGATCTGTTCTCTGGAGGAGACCCAGCCGTTTTGTTTTGTGGTTACTGGCCAGGCTGTGGTGGAAGACCAGACTACCTGGGTGACCTTGAGCAAGTCAGCCAGCCTCCTGGTGCCCCAATTTCCAGCTTATATATCTACCCCTAAGGTCCTTTTGAGAACTAAATGTTTAGACATGTAACCCCCCACCTGGCCAGGGTAAGTGCTTGGATAGAGTCTATTCTCTGATTTAAGTTCAGAGCTGTGTTCCCTGAGCCCTGGAAATGTGGGATTGTCCACCACCCTGGACCTTTAGAGGGCTTCTGCCCTGGGCAGCCAGAGAGCTCCTCAGAACCCAAGTCAAGGAGGTGATGCTTTACCCCTGCTGGCCCACCCCTACTTCGCTGTCCTCTTCCCACTGGGAAGAAACATCATGAATTAAAAATTCCAGGGTTGAAAGTCCCCTCTTGGATCCTTCTGGAAAAAATAAGCTCAAGCCCATTTCTGTTCAAAGGAAGTAATTCAGGCAGCTAGTGACTGGGTCACCCAGATGGAGTTTCTGCCGGCAGGTGGGGAGATTTGGGAGGAAGAGGAAGGGTGAGGAACTGGTGGATTTTCACAAGCCTCTGTTGTAAATGCCTTCCGTGAACTTGGATTTCTTTTTCTCTACTGGTTTGTTGTTATTTTTTTCCCCCTAAATTACAAAAGCACTGCATACTCATTGGGAAAAAAAAAAAATGTTTTTCCAAACAACCCAGAAACATATAGGCAGGATATTGTATTGGTTGCGAGGCAGGACTCAACTGTAGTTTAATTTAAAAAAACAAGACAAGGGGCGCCTGCGTGGCTCAGTCCTTAAGCGTCTGCCTTCGGCTCAGGTCATGATCCCAGCGTCCTGGGACCGAGCCCCGCATCGGGCTCTCTGCTCGGCAGGAAACCTGCTTCTCCCTCTCACACTCCCCCTGCTTGTGTTCCCTCTCTCGCTGTCTCTCTCTCTTTCTGTCAAATAGATAAATAAAATCTTTAAAAATACATAAAAAATTAAAAATAAAAAAAAACAAGACGAAATAAAAGGCAGAACTCTGGAACCCGACTGCTGGGATTTGAATTCCAGCTCTGCCACTTATCTGCCACAGCTCTGTCTCCATGGTCTTGGGTGAGTTACTTAACCTCTCTGTGCCTCAGTTTCCCCGTCTGTAACATTGGTATGATAGTACCTACCACATAGGGCGGTTGTGAAGATTAGAAGCATTCATGTATGTGAAGCCGATAGAACAGTATCTGACACTTAGTAAACTCAAGATGCGTACCTGTTATCACTGGATGAGAGGAAAGCGAACGCTCCTTCTCCCACTCTGCTCCCCCCTACCCCCCAGCAGCAAGCCCTGCCAAGCATGAGTCTGTATCCTTCCAGACCTTTGTACACACAAGACACACACTTGTATTCTTACAAAAATGGGTTAATACCATACATATCTGCTACTTGCTTCTAATAACTTAACCATATCTGTAATTATCTTTACAGTGTTACATGAATCCAGACCTGTCTAGGGTCAATAAGAATTACTGTATCACCTTTCTAGAAGTGTCTTCTCTTTTTCTCCATCTCCCCTGACTCACATAGCTGGGGGTAGGTGGGAGGGATGGTAGGCGTTTCTCAGTAAGTGCTAAGGGGGCAGAGGCTGGGGTCTTACTTGGAGAGAGCCCCCTGCCAAATTCCATTTTTCCACTTCCCCTCCCCAAGATGTTCCAGAGCCTATGTCAACATATGGTCTCACAGGGAAACAAAACCAGTCCAACCTGCTGGGGTTCATGAGGGCCAGTCCCATGCTTTTATTGTTACGTGGGTAAATGACACATAAAAGAAAGTTCAACATCATACTTCTTCCTTCTGAAGGCTGAGTAGTTACCTGCAACCACCACATGCTCTTTATCCATCCATCCATCCATCCATCCATTGGTCGCAGCTTGGGGTTGCTTCCATCTTCCTGCTCTTGTGAATAATGCTGCTATGAACACGGATGTACAAATATCTCTTTGAGACACTGCCTCAGAGACATTTTAAATTTCTCTGGAGAACACCCCCCCCGCCCCGGTGTGGGAACTCCAGACCTTTGCCGTCAGATTGACCATAAACCCCCCTTGGCAGAAGCAGACATCTGTAGGTGTAGATTTCTCAGTAAACATTGAGAGACGCTGTGAGGGTCCAGTGGGGTCTTTGCCTGGTTGGAAGCCTCTCGTTTTCTCCTTCCAGCTTTTAGTTGTGAAGCTCAGACCAGCCACTGAAGGTGGAGGTGGAGGGGCTGGAGCAGTGCAGATAGGGGAAAACAGGAAAACACTCACACTCCAGAGCCCACGGACTTGACTTGGGGAGCAGGTGGTTAAGCAGGGACATGGAGGGAGGAGCCTGGGCTCTAAGACCCAAGTCAGAGACTTGGATTTGGTGAAGGGGAAAGGGGGGTGGGTTAAATTCAGGGGATTTAACGCCCTGACAATGGCATCCTGTGTCATTCATCCTGTGTACCATTCCCTGGGTCCAGAACAGTGAACCCTGGCCATAGCAGGACCATTCTGCTGCCTCTACCAGGTTCTCCAACTCCATGGCTTACTACGGGCTGGCCATGGACCTGCAGAAATTTGGACTCAGTGTATACCTGGTGCAGATCCTGTTCGGAGTCATAGACATCCCGGCCATGCTAGTGGCCACCACCACCATGATATACGTGGGCCGCCGGGCCACCGTGGCCTCCTTCCTCATCCTGGCTGGGCTCATGGTGATCGTGAACATGTTTGTGCCAGAAGGTGAGCCATGTGCTTCTGCCATGACCGCCTAGGAGCCTCTGGGGTCTGGGGTCTGGGGTCTGGTGGGCAATGACTACAGCAAAGGAACAGGCTGAGGGATGTTCTTCTGGATCTGGAGAGGAAGTGACTGTCCATTAGCAGAGTTTTTACTACGCACTCAGCACCATGGCGGAGAATTGGCAAAGACCCCAAAGCACTTACCATCTTGTCAGGGAGATCAGGTTGATGACCTTTGAAATTCCCAATGCCCAGGGGCTCCAGGCCAATGTCAGCAATGTCAAGGAATGGGACCCAACTGTAGGTATTTAAAGAACAGTCCAGTGATTCCAGCAAGAAGCCGGGGTTGAGTTTCAGAGTCCTAGAGCTTGTGTGAAGCCAAGGGCACATGGCCTTGGGCAGCTTGTCTGATTTCTCCGGGCTTTATCGCCTTCCTGTAAAATGGATAGATTATTTCTATTGGTATTTTGACATATTTTCTTCCAGTCTTTTTTCCTTTTTGTAGATTTTGTATTTGACATAATTGAGATAATATTATATATGTACATATATATAAAAATGGGATTATATATGTATATATGTGTTATCTTATTTATACATTTAAGATATATCCTATTTCACTATATGTTATAACATAAATATGCTTTTTCATGTTATTTATTTATTTTTATTGTTATTATTTTTAAAGATTTTATTCATTCACTTGAGTGAGAGAATGGGAATGCATAGCAGGGGAGGGGCAGAGAGGGGGGGAGAAAGAGACTCCCTGCTGAGTGGGGTCGACCCCAGGACCCTGAGATCATGACCTGAGCTGAAGTTAGACGCTCAACCAACTGAGCTACCCAGGATCCCCTATTTACTATTATTTTTTAAGTAGGCTCCAGGCCTAGCATGGAGTCCAACATGGGACTTGAACTCAGGACCCTGAGATCAAGACTTGAGTTGAGACCAAGAGTTGGATGCTCAATGGCCTGTGCCACCAGGCACCCCAATATGCTCCATGACCCTAATTTTGTTCATACAAATGTTCATACAAATGTTCCATGACCCTAATTTTGTATTACTATGTTATAATTCATCCAGATTGGTGTCTCACAACTCTTGCTGCACATTGGAATCTCCTAGGGACCTTTATTTTTTTGGTTTTTTTTGTTTTTTTGTTTTGTTTTTTTAGGATTTTATTTATTTATTCATGAGAGACAGAGAAAGAGGCAGAGGGAGAAGCAGGCTCCCAAGGAGCAGGGAGCCCGACACGGGACTCGATCCCAGGACCCTGGGATCATGACTGAGCCGAAGGCAGATGCTTAACCATCTGAGCCACCCAGGCGCCCTCTCCTAGGGACCTTTAAAGAAATACCCAAACTTGAGGCTATCCCCAAGAGGTTTTAATATAACGGAGAGGGGGTAGAGCCCAGATGTGGGTGTTTTATAAATCTCGCCTCCTGGATCCAGTGTGCAGTCAGAGGACGTACCATAATTTCCTTGACCATTGCTTCGATGTTGGGCATGTGCGTTGGGGTTTTACTATTCATAACCAGTAGCAATGATGGTAACAGCAAACACTGAGTGAGCACTGAGCCCTTTGCACTCATGACGTCACGGAACCTTATGAGCACCCTGCAAAGCAGGTGCTGGTGTTTTCCTCATTTTACAGTTGAGGACAGGGAGGCTCAGAGAGGTTAAGTGACAGTGACCGAATGGGGATTTGCACCCAGGCCTAACTCCAAAGTTTGTCCTGCCTCGGGAACGGGAAAAGGAGGCAGAAGTGAGAGAAGTGCAGTGCGGGGTGTTCTGGGGCCTAAGTGGGAACATGAGGTCGTGGGAATCCCAAGCCCCTCCACCCAGTGCTCTGCCTACCCCCTCCCTTTTTGGGCTCTGAGCCTCAGCCTCTGCCTCTTCCCCAGATCCCATCCCCTCCTGAGCACCTCTGCTCCCACCACACTCCTCTGCCTGCCTGGTCCCCCCTGGGGCTCTGAGCTCCCCCTAACCCCCGGCTCTGCTTACCCCTCTGCAGATATGCAGACCCTGTGCACGGCCCAGGCAGCACTGGGCAAAGGCTGCTTGGCCAGCTCCTTCATCTGTGTGTACCTGTTCACCGGAGAGCTGTACCCCACAGAGATCAGGTGGGTGCATGGGGGGACGCAGAGCAGCACCTGCCCCAACCTGGGAGGCCCTGGAGTTCCAGGATGACACCTGCTGAGCTTGCTGAAGCAGGACCCCTTCTCCTTTCTGTCTGCCCCCTGACACCCAGGGCCTGGCACCCCCAGTCCTCTAGGCAGCCTGGGCCATGGCCACTGACCAGTCCGCACTTTTTAGGCAGATGGGGATGGGCTTTGCCTCGGTCAATGCCCGCTTTGGGGGTCTGGTTGCGCCCCTGGTCACCACACTCGGGGAGTTCAGCGCCATCCTGCCCCCCATGGGCTTTGGGGCCACTTCGATCCTGGCTGGGCTGGCTGGCTGCTTCCTGGCTGAGACCAGCAACGCGCCCCTGGTGGAGACCATCGAGGCCATGGAGAGGAGGTAAGGAGCCTCTGGGCATGGTGGGGGGGATGGGGGGGGATGGCCAAACAGGCTGCAGGTGAAATAACTCAGGGTCTTCCCACTGCTCTTCCAATGTCATGGCTGGTGGGTGGGAGCCGTGTTGGGAAGACCAGCCTTGCCTACCCACCTTTGTCTAAGAGGCTTGGCTTTCATCAAGGACAGACCCAACAATGAATGGTGAAATAGAACGAAGAATAAACTGGAGACCAGGCAAAACAGGAACATGAGCTGAGGTCAAGCCTGGCAGAGAAGTGGGGATAACGGTTTGTGGGGAAGAGAGGTGCCATGTTCTGAAGCAAAGACAGGCCCGTGTGGCTGCCATGGTGGCCTTCAGATTTGGCCCAGAGCTTCCTGGCAACAGAAAGGGAGACCCGGTTACGGACTTCCGTCATATTGTCCAAGAGAAAAGGGGCTACCAGTTCTCTGGGAAAAGTGAAACTTTCCTCAACAATTAGCACTAGAAGAAATTTCTCTCATGGATCTCCTTAGGGAGGTCACTGAGTAAGGTGATGTCCTTGATGATGTTTCTAAAAGTGCCAGGTGGACTTGTTGCATTTCTCAGCAACAGTGGGGCCACTGAAGACCCTTGGTTGTGGGGAATGGGGCCAGGGAAGGGAACAGGGCCCAAGTCTGTAGCTTTCTCTGAGTCCAGCTTGATTCCACAGCTGGAACCATCTCTCCAGAGACCTGTGAGGTGGACTGTGTTTGAAATCCTTAAAATAATCCCCCATGAGCATCCTACATCTAACCTGAGCCGTGGACTAAGGCTGGACTCACATAGATCAAGGACAGGACACTTGCCTTTGGCAAGTCCTGTCAATTCTGCCTCCAAAATATATTTAGAATCTGTCCCTCTCTGTCACCCCTGTGACCATCCCCCTCTGAGTCTGGACAGCTCTAAAAGCCTCGTATCTTCCCCTGTCCCTTCCACTTTATTCTTTATACAGCAACTAGTGTGAAAGGCTTGCCATGTAAGAAATCACATCACTCTTCCTTGTAACCCTTCCCTGGCACCCTTTTATGTTGAAGATAAAATATGAAATCTCACAAGCTCCCAGGATCTGGCTCCTGCCAACACCAAGGCTGCTCTTTCTGTCTGGAATGTTCTTCTCTTTGCTCTCTGCCTGTTTAATTCCCATTCATGCCACAGGTATAGGTCTAGACACCCCAGATGCTGGGTTAGTATTTGTCAATAACCCAATCCAGAGCCTGTTTACAGGTGCTCTGAGATGTTGCCTGAGGGACCCAAGTACATGAAGAGACAACTGGAGGAGTGGCCCCCCCAATATTACTGTAATGGTTCTGGCCTGGGCATTTTTATTTATTTATTCATTTAAATATTTTATTTATTTTTTTGACAGAGAGAGAGATAGCGAGAGTAGGAACACAAGCGGGGGAGTGGGAGAGGGAGAAGCAGGCTTCCCACAAAGCAGGGAGCCCGATGCGGGGCTCGATCCCAGGACCCTGGGATCCTGACCTGAGCCGAAGGCAGATGCTTAATGACTGAGCCACCACGCGCCCCTGGCCTGGGCATTTTTAAAGTCACATTTTGCTTACCCTAGCTGTAGAAAAACCCAGCAATGCCAAATGAAATTCGAGTTTTGGGTAACAGAGCTTCGTTTGATCCTGCCAGGAACATTTATTATAAAGCTACTGTATGTTGTTACAGATGTGAACCAATTACATGATGGAGGCCATTTACTAAAAATAATTATTTAATTTAATTTAATTTAATTTAATTTAATTTATTGAGAGAGAGAGAAAGTGCATGGGGAGAGGGAGAGAGAGAATCTCAAGCAGACTCCACGCCCAGCACAGAGCCAGACATGGGGCTCGATCCTACAACTTTGAGATCATGACCTGAGCCGAAATCAAGAGTCCAATGCTTAACCAACTGAGCCACCCAGGCGCCCCTAAAATTAATTTTATTTTTTAAATTGTTGAGGGGCACCTGGGTGGCTCGGTCAGTTAAGTGTCTGCCTTCCGCCCAAGTTCATGATCCCAGGGTCCTGGGGTCAAGTCCCACATCCGGCTCCCTACTCAGCGGGGAGCCTGCTTCTCCCTCTGCCTGCTGCTCCCCCTGCTGTGCTCTCTCTCTCTGTCAAATAAGTAAATAAAATCTTTAAAATAAAATAAAATAAAATAGTTGGGAACAAGCCATTCTTTCCCACAACAATTTGCTGATTGGATCTGACCTAGCTGGTCCTGTCAGGAGTCCATTCATCCCAGGGAGTGTGGAAGAGCTTGCACACCCTGGGAAACTAACCAATATCCAAAATGCAGGAAGCTCTCCGAAGCTGCACAATGTTGCAGAGTAGTCCCAGATTTTGCATTGCTTTTATCGTTTATTTTTTAAATTATGTATGTGTGAGGGCATCTGCCTCCGTGTCTGTGTGTTGAGTGTGGTCTGGGGCAATCTCAAACTTACACTCTTTGTCTGAACCCTGGGAGAGAAAGTTGTTGAGACATCTCTGCCAAATATTCTGACGTGTAATTCTCTCCAACAAGGATGTTCTGTTACACAACCTCAGTAGAACCATCACAGTTAGAAAGCTAATATTGATATATGATTTCCATTTAATCCTCTGGCCTCATTCAAGTTCTGCCAGTCTTTCCCACCCCCACCCCTGCCCCACCACCAACATCCCATAAAGCAAGAGGATCCGGTTCAGAATCACAAGTGGCATTTAGATGTTGCATTTCGTTCAGGCTGGACTAGATCCTCGGGTGTTCTCAGACTCTCTTGACTCCAACAGTTATACAAGGTTTTATAACAGCAAGGACAGGGATGAGTCCACAGAGCACACTTATATAAGGCTTTCAGGAGATGAAGGATGCAATACAGTTAGGAGGAAGAAAATGCAGGCAATCATCAGGAAGGCCCAGGGCACCCAGGTGCACTGCCTGGGGGTCCTCTCTGCCCTCTCTTTGGTCTCTCTCAGAGGCTGTCAGCATGAAAGGGAGATACCTCAATCTTGGGGAAGCCTAGGCACACGTCTGCCAAGGGGTTTTTTTTTTGGTATCCCGTTGGTCACAGCTAAAATCGGTTTGTAGAGCCAGGTAAACCAATTGCAGACCATAAATCCATAATTTTTTTTTTTTTAAGATTTTATTTATTTATTTGACAGAGAGAGACACAGCGAGAGAGAGAACACAAGCAGGGGGAGTGGGAGAGGGAGAAACAGGCTTCCAGCCGAGCGGGGAGCCCGATGAGGGGCTCGAACCCAGGACCCCGGGATCATGACCTGAGCCGAAGGCAGACGCTTAATGACTGAGCCACCCAGGCACCCCAATCCATAATTTTCAACAAACAATATTAGACAAGCTGGGAGAGGCTGTCTCCAGAGGGAGAGTCACACTTTGACAGCCCATGAAAAATTACTGGCTAGTCCATATCATCCTTGCTGTGGTTGATGGGCAGTGTCTTGGCTCCAGATGTCTTTGAAGATGCACGCGGAGCTGCCACAGACTAGCTGTGAGCTAACAATGACCTTGACTGTTTGAAGATGGAGACCAGTTATTCTGTAGATTTCTCCCTGGTTTGGGGTTTTCTGATGTTACAGGTTGTAGCTCACGCATCTCTGGCAATGTTATCACAAATGTGAGGCCTGATTCTGCTCGTTGTATCCCATCAGCTGGTGCACGATTTTGGTTTGTCCTGTGATTGGTGATGTTCCCCTTGATCCCTTAATTAAGGAGGTACCTGCCAGGCCCTCTGCACTGTAAAGTTAATTCTTTTCCCCTTTGTAATTAACAAGGCTTTTGTGGTGAAGTACTTTATACTATGTAAGTATTCCATTCCTGATCAAACTTTCAATTTATTATGTATGTATTTGTATCATTATGGATTTATAAATCCTTATTTTTTTTAAAGATTATTTATTTTTATTTATTTATTCATTCGAGACACAGAGATACAGAGAGAGAGAGAGAGAACATGAGCAAAGGGAGAAGCAGAGGGAGGGGGAGAAGCAGGCACCCCGCTGAGCAGGGAGCCCGATGTGGGGCTCGATCCCAGGACCCTGGGATCATGACCTGAGCCGAAGGCAGACGCTTAACCCTCTGAGCCACCCAGGCGCCCCAATCCTTATTTTTCAATGTATTATACCCTGTTTATTTTGATGCTCAATTTGTCCTAAATTTGGGCAGTATGAACCTTTTGACTTCTGTGTTCTTTCAAAATTCTTTAAGCATGTCGTTTCCTGGATAGCCTAGGAAATGAGTTTCCCCATAACTGTCTTGGCAGCAACCATTTCTCTGAGTGTCTTAGCTCATTTTAGTAGAGAATGGTATTTAGAAGCCAAGATCCTTGGCGCACCTGGGTGGCTCAGTCGATTAAGCATCTGCCTCTTGATTTTGGCTCAGGTCATGGTCTCAGGGTTGTGAGATTGGCCCCCCATTGGGCTCAGCAGAGAGTCTGCTTGAGATTCTCTCTCTCCCTCTGCCTCTCCCCCACCTCTCTCTCTCTCTCTCTCTAAAATAAATAAATAAATCTTAAAAAAAAAAAAAGCCAAGATCCAGGTGTGAGGGGCTCATTATTATGGGGTTTTTCTGCTCTCAAGCCTCCCAGCGAACAGAGGTAGGGAATATATGAATATACATATAGGTACAGAGACCCGTACATCTTTTTTCTGTATCTGTAGATCATACTGAAAACCATGAGTCACACCATTACCTCCAACACCACCCACCACCAGGTTTATATCAGTTTGCTCCCTTTTCATATTTTTTTTTAAAAGATTTTATTTATTTATTCACGAGAGACAGAGACAGAGAGAGAGAGAAGCAGAGGGAGAAACAGGCTCCCAAGGAGCAGGGAGCCCAATGTGGGACTCGATCCCAGGACCTTGGGATCATGACCTGAGACGAAGGCAGACACTTAACCATCTGAGCCACCCAGGCGCCCTCCCTTTTCATATTTAACTCCCTTCTCTGACAATGAGAAATCTGCCTTCCCTCAGCCTTAACGTATTTGCCTA